AAAATAGGCTAAAAATGGTACTTTATCACGAACACAGATTTAACAGTCTCTCTTGAATTTTAGCTCAAATAATTTATGTTTATGTTATATTAAAACTTTCATGACACATATTAAATTAATTATTATGTTTTCGACTTACCCTCGTAACTGTTTGATGAGGAACTCGCATAGTTTCAAGCCATCTTAGAGGCTGCTACGATAGCAGCGCGATAGTCGCTGCGTCGCGGGTCGCGAAATGCTGCTTATGAAGCATGAGCCTCTAGCATGGCTTGAAACTAGTCGAGTTCCTCGTTAAAAAGTTACGTGAGTAAGCCGAAAACGTAATAAATAATTAATGCTACTTTAAAAATATTCTGTTCTCAAATGGCTTAACTAACTGTTTATCGAGATTATGTACAGTTTTTTAGATTTTAAACTAACTTATGCAGTTACTGTTAATTTTGCTAGGAAGTCCGTTCTCGTTTAGTTTCCAATTTGAATTAGCAATCAGTACTTAATGCGTTTTAATTATTTTAATAGAAACATTGATAGACTTTGCGAAAGTGTCGCAGACGATACAACATTTTTAGTAATGAAGAAACTACAGAAACAACTAGGATTTCGGTTATCTAGAATAAATGGCTACATTTTGTTTTAATGTTCATTTTATTTTATTACGGAAACAAAATATTTTTGACGATATATCGCGTGACGTCACTTCTTTACATACATTCTTAGAAATGACGTAGATAGCGCCCACTGCTTAACTTTGATTCGTTTTATCTAAGTATTGTACATAAGAGAAAGTAACAAATTAGTGTCTAATATTTTATTCACTACCTAACTAATGGACTATATAGATTCTTAATTTTCATACCTTATCATTATTCCGATTGTTCGTATGAAACAAAGCTTTTTTTACAAATAGTCATGTTAAAAAGATAATTTTGGATTCATTTTTTTTATTGAATTCATTTGACAATGGCGGGTATTTTAAACATTTTACCTCGAATGTAACGTCGGTATAACGTCGGCAGTACAAAAATAACCAAATTTTATTAAAAATCAATCAAGCCTTTGACGAATCTATTGCAGGAAAGTCACCGGTCACCGTTAACCTACGCGGCAGATGCCCTGTTAATATCGTAAATGTCAACGGCCATACTTTTCATCAAACAAATCACTATAAACCAACTTTACCATAGACCTAAGTAATAAACACCATTAATCGTAGCTTCCCCATTAACATCAGTACTTGTTTCAGACATAACGGTTCCACTCAAACCACATTGTAGGACGCACCAGTGCAGAATGATTGTTCGTAACACATTACCAAGTGGTGCTGTGACGTGGAAATTATTTACTTCCCCTGACACTAGGCTTGAGGCATTAAGGTCTATTAATCGATTCAACTTTTTGGTTCTTCTTCTTCTAAATGGTTTTATATTGTTTTTATAATAACTATCGTGAGACATACTAAATTAAGTAAAATCGCGGGTTACAGACGTGAATATACTGAGAAAAGATCTACTAGTTTCGAACCACAGAGGGGTTCTTTCTCATGAGCAGCGTGCGCGGCGACGTCGCGCAGCTCACTTGTGTGAGCAGAGTAAGAGAGAGCACGCTGACTCATGAGGAAGAACCCCTCTGTGGTTCGAAAGTAGTAGAGCTTCTCCCAGTATATTCACGTGAGTAACCCGCGATTTTACTTAATTTGGTTTTATATTTTCGTGATATTTGTTTAAGGGAATGGTCAAAGATCTATGCATTATTCGTCCCAGTTCCGAGTGATGTAAAGCACCTTTTGTTAAAAAGAACGATATATTAAAGGGAACGCCTATTGTATGCTGACAAAGCACCGGTTTGCGTAGCTATGTTTCAGTTCTACATTTTTTATTTTTAAGACTTTTTTGTCAAAGTAGGATTCTGTTACTGTGAACTAGGCTAGGTACGTGATAGACTCTTGGACTACTGAACTTATATTAACCTCTCACGTCTGGTCTTGTTGAATTTCTTTAACATTTTGTTTGTGACCATTTCATTTTTGCTAGCATTCTTTTTGGGAACTATGTCAATTCTACCGAAGGTTATCTAAATACCACTCTGAAGTCGCATTGGTTGATGTAGCTGGTCTTGGGATGTTGTATCTTGGTCACAGAGAGTTTATTTTGCATTACAATAACCCCACCTTTAAATCAATAACATAAAAGTTCTAGATCTCTGTCAGAAGTAGCTACTAATAATATTATTATCGACTTTAGCATAAGAGATTTTTCTCAACAAGTCGATTGTACACGTACGAAAGGAAAGCAGCTACGTCATCGTGAGTTTAGACGATATTTCTACGATTTTGACATCACTAATTGGCGTGCAATCATATATTGTGATTCGCCGCGACGAATCTCAGAATTACTCTAACTAAATGTTCGTTATGGCGCATATCGGATAATGTACAAAGATCAGCTGATGCGCCTGTTGCCAGCTTTCTACACGCTTCAAAATTAAACACGTAAACTATTAGTCAATTGTTATTTGATGGAGTTATGAAAGAATTCTGTTGCTGAGTGATCTTCATAAAAAAAAATTAACTGAAATTAAAGCCATGCACTGTTAGACGTTTCGGATTAAAATTAAATTAATTATGATTATGAAAAAAATATATACTGTCTCGCTTTATTAAGAAGGTTCGGAGCTGGTAAGTGGCGCGGAACTACCAAGAATTGCGAGAAATGACAAAATCTCGTATCAGAAGTCAAGAACCTTTTAAGTCGCTGAGTCAACGGAATAAGTATGTATGTAAGGATACGTTTCACTACACTCAATGAAACCCAAGGTTATACTTTTATATTAGTAGCTTATGAATGCATCTATGTATGTTTAACAATTCCTTATTAATGCAAGACGATAATGCTAGTTCTGTTGGCCTTGCTTTGAATGAAATTGAAAATAGATTGTGGATTCTGAATTTTTTATGTAGAGGAATGGGATTAATTATATAACTCCAGTAACACATTATCATCCTCTAGAATTGTGCTTGCTACCACTGCTAAGTCTGTTCCAAATTTAACCGAATTTAAGTGAAAATAGAGTATATTTTCAGTGACTTTCACGACATTGAAGCCTGCAATAATGAGTAGGTATATTATTATGATGTTACAGTGTTCGCATCTCTGTATCTCTCCTTTCTATCGGATTCTTAATTTTATGCTAACTAATTACTCATCTCTGCCTAGCTTGGAGATAATTGTGTTGTTTCAATGTTAGGTACTGGGTGTTGTACACACCTTGTGTATTCACTGTGATAAATATTTAATACTAGCTGATTTGGCAAACTTTTAACAACGCAAAATTTATTTTTGCTCTGGACTTCCTCAAATAACCTGGCTGTCTTCGAGGCCCGAGTGAATAGGATGCTTATGAGACGACATACTTCTTCGTAGACCGCATCATCGTTTACCACCAGACGAGGTAGTGTTCAAGCATCGGCCCGTCAAATATATATACATATAAGAAAATCGTTAGTTTTATCGAGACTAACGAACATCAATTTATTTCTATATAATTAATACTAGCTATGCTATGCGTCCATGTAATGGAAACAAAAAAATAACAGATACAAGCCTTGAAACTATTATATATACACTCCATACTTAATATATATTTTTTGTTTCAATTTTCCAAAATAAAAGTAAGTATGTTATGTTACTACTGAGTACATCGGCTACCTGTCAATAAAAGTCGGGACTTTTATTGACAAAAATCGGTACAGCCATTCTACAGATTAGCCAGTACAAACAGATAGACAAAAATTGGAAAAAATGCTATTTTGGTATATGAGTTGTATGTATGCATATGCATGTAGTAAAAAGCGGTTATTTTAATATTATAAACAGACCATTTAATTTTATTTATCTGTTTTGACGATCCGCTAATAGAAAGGTTATTGCGACTGTCTGTAAGACATTAGTTAGATGTCTGGACATTAAAACCTCTTGTAACTTTATTGTCGATTCTAGAACTAAAAATGTTGTCTATGTCTATGCACTTCCTATAATAAAGCAATATTCAATGTCATTCAGTATCGATCGAGTCATCAAGAGCATTATCTTTGGTTTCCCTAAAGGTAATAAAATTACATAGTTCACTTTCAACAACCGATTATGTCGGAGTTTTATGAGTTTACACGTAATAAATATTGTTAAAATGTTACTTGAACTTCAGATTTATGATATTTCGTCATAAAAGCTTTTGTTACTAACGTTTTTTATATTTTAGTTGTAAGTAAATGTACATAGTCATAGTACAGGGCTGTTAGCAACTTTTTCTTAAGTTACTTGTATTGTTTTGGATAATTTATTTACAATTATGTAATACCTACTAAAATCTACACGAAACAACTGATTAAGTTTCGAAAATGTGTTCGATTCATTGGTATTTTCGAAAGTTTTCTTTATTTTTTCAGAGGTTTCATATTTAAATAAGCAAATATGTACTGTAATGTTACCAAAGAACACAAAAAATTATAATACTTTGGTATTTGATCTCTTTCTAACCATGTTTCTGTAGAGACAGAAAGATGGTTAGAAAGAGATCACATACGATTCAGATTGAAAACTCTTTTCTATCTTTATTAAGTTTATCTTTTTGGCTCATTAGTAATTAAATAGCGTAATTCTTAAAATATGGCCATTTCTAGCAATAATCTTCTTATCTATTAATTAATCTTTTAGAGATATCTACTCTAGACTGCAATGTATAGGTGTAGATTGAAAGATAGTCAATATTGTGAGATAGTAGATTACAAGACACGCAGTGCCTGCATCTCTTAAATTAAATTATCTTTAACTAATGTATTACTGCTATTAATCGCCATCTCATCAACATAAAATCAAGATAATGTCCCAAAAAGCAATGTTTCCATTATTATTCTTGGTATTTGTACGAATTTTCTTTTTAAACCTTTTTCTCCATTTAATAAAGTTTAAATTGTTGTGTAATACATAATTATTATAATGACTTACCTTGTCAACACGGACGTAATTGCTCGGTCAGTGCAAATCCTTAGTAAAGAGAGAACACTCACACGTGTACTGTTTTCACCGGTAGAGATCGAGAGTGGCGCGTAGCGGCCAGCGCGCGCGCTTCACAACCAATGCGTACGCGCACGTCACGCTCCGAACACTCTCCTACTCCTGTGCTCACCACCTCGCCTCACGCGGTGATGCTTCCTCCTAACATAACAATACAACATTATTATTGACCGTTTTATAATTGGATTGACCTTACCTTATGAAAGTTATGTTATATTTTACACGTTTAATCATATTCGGTGTTTCTTCATACTTATGTTATGACAATATCTTCAATTTGTCGGATTTGTGCATTAATGAAAGATTTTTCTTTGACTATTACATAATGCAGGCTCTGTGATACACATTTTCCTTTACTTAGATTACTTTCCTTTACTTCTAGTTAGAGTGTTATAGAATACTGTTTAAAACTTCCAATTCGTGCAATATGAAAAACCAGAGGTCTATCCTAGCATTAAAATCTTCCGACTTTTCTGGTCATCATGCTCAATTTTTCATTCACAAAACTTTAGATCTTATAATAGTACATTTAAATAAAAAATATAAAGTCTAGAATCACCTACTCGTTCGGGAGTTGTATGCGATACATTTCAAGGATTTAATATTATGTGTCTATTTTTTTTCGCTTCCATTTACGTCATCAGCTTTGACTTAGGTATTTCTATAGACTTCTAAAAGTGTTTTATTAATATTGTCATCCTATTATAAAATTTTATAGGGTCGTCGAACTGGTGGCTGGTCGGTATTCTGTCGTGTGTGGTGCGCGTGTACATTGATATTATCTGGATGTACATGAATCAATGATGTATGTTGAGGCAGTATCGGAATATTTTTTTTTAGAAATTCTAATGTTTTGTGGAATGTTTTTTTATGGCATAAGCCGGTAAACGAGCAGACGGATCACCTGATGGTAAATCGGCGTCGCCCATGGACACCTGGAACACCAGAGGCGTTACAAGCGCGTTACCGGCCTTTTGGGGATTAGGAGTTTGAGGATCGTTGGGGATTCAGGAATTGGGGAGATTGGGGAAGGGGAGAGTAATTGGGCCTCCGGTAACCTCATTCACACGACGAAACACAACGCAAGCGTTGCTTCACGTCGGTAATCTGTGAGGCCGTGGTATCACTCCGGTCGAGCCGGCCCATTCGTGCCGAAGCATGGCTCTCCCACACTTGTGAATGACTGTGAATGTGACTTTTTATTGAGATTACTCAATACTACTATACAGTACTATGCCTTAATACTGGATTAAGGGTATTATGATAAAATTACCTCCTCTTACCCTGGCTGAAAGGAGAAGATAAGACTCTTACTGACTGAAAAGCACCCTGTTTCAACTTCGGCTTTGAGACTGAGCTTCGGTAACCCTTGCGAATCGCGACAGCTCCGTGCTCTACGATCTAAAATGTAAACAATCTCATGTAGTTAGGTAATTTTAAAAAAGATTATTAACCACCTTATTCATCTACACAATGTTCTCAAAAAAATCCTAAAAAAACTGCATCACAAAATCCCAAATTACTTCACTACCATCCATCACATCTACCATTCTACTGCATTGACACGTTGTAATAACGCAACCACTACCATTATGCAACATAATGACTCGTCAATGTCACTTACATCGCAACGGTGCATGTTAATGACAGATGACACATCTGACATTTTATAACGAGCAGCTGATTTAATTGTAACGATGCAACTGTTAGATGGTAATGATGCGTTCGGTAATATTTCCGATTGTGAATTATCATTTTGACAGGTGCAGTCAAATTGTATCCTTGTAGGAAGTTGTTAAGGTTTTTGTATTGAGTGCTGTTGGTACGGTCATTTACTAAAGTGAAAAGTAAAGTAGTATAATATTTTTTGTTAGTAAGAAGTCAATGTAGCTTTGTCATTTAAATAAAATGTACAAAGAATCTGTAGAGGTGGAAATAGACTGCCAAGTGGCTGAGTTAGAGAAGAACTTTCGTTTATCTCAGATTCTGATGCCCTGGACAAATGTTTTGTCTAAATCCGAAACAGCCACATTTCGGTCACACTTTGCACTTGCTACGGCAATTCACAGAAATTACAAGACATGAATAAACAATATTTTAAAAAAATTGACAATTCCTTTTGATAAATTAACACAATTTAATATAGTAAAATCAGGCTAAGCTTTGATCAAGCACTTTTTTAGTTTTTTGCCATCACTGTACAGAGTACAGAGCACACAATTGTAAGTTTATCATTAGCAATGTCTGGTTTACGTCTAGTAACTTCCCTAATTGACAGTTACACACTGAAGAGGATTATGCAAATTAACGATTACTATACAAATGTTTTATGATTAATCATTGAGGTTATATATATATATATATATACGTACATTAATATATTCTTATGTATGTAGTTGTCAAAATTACAATCGGATTTTAATGTGAATGAATGTTTCATCTTGTATTTAAGTTGTTAAGTAATGTAATTTGTCGGTGAGGTAACTTGGTATGTTAATCTTATTTAGTTGTGGCTACTGTAGCAGCTGTTTGTAAAAAGTAAGAAAAGTTTTGATTAAAAAAGTTTCATATGGTACTGTGATAATAGGAGCATGCATTTCATACTGAAATTTGTGTTTTTAAATTCTCTTACGCGTAGGGTAGCAGTCAATCATTCAACTACTACAAGACTACTATCAAGTCTTCAATAACCTACAAATAATAAATTGATTACTCTAACCAAAATTACTTCTCCAAAAAACCGACGTCAATTAAATTGCCTTAGCAGTCATAAGCAAATTCTTTTTTTACGTACAAATAACACAAGAAAATAGGAAAAAATCGAAAACAATTGCTCACACATTGCTGCACTAAATAATTCTAGTTGTTAGTGATTGTACAAACATTTGGCAACAAGTTATTATTATAAATTATAAACCTTTTGAATATTTATGATTACAATTATATGTAATCTTCTGTTAGATAAGAGGCTCGAAGTTAAATAATTACATTACTCAACATAGTTTTTGGGCGTACAAATAAATTCTAAGCTAATTACCTCAGTGTCTTGCATTTAGGCAACAGTATAGTACTACAAATTATTTTATTGAAGATACTAAACTTTTGGAGAAAGTTATGTATATTCATAGTTACATTGTGTATGTTACAAATGATATAGTTTTGTTTTGTGGTTTTAAAATATATTTTTCAGAACTAAGTAGTGAGACCAATCGAATAGTTATTGTTATCATTGAGGTTTCTGAAAAGTGAGTCACATTGGTACATAATATTATGTCTATAATGTAAATATTATCATAAAATACACAAGGTACCTTTTCATTTATCACAGACCTTTAACTGCCGGCGCACAACTATTGTAAAGGTTTTAAAACTAGATGCAGGCATTGAATTCTTGATGATAGTATTATACTTTTGGGGCTTTAATGAGTTTATAATATCGTTGACCTTAATGAACGGTTTAAAAAGCTAAAAATCACATTCGTTGATCACAATATCATCAATCTGCTCTAGGTTATACATTTACAAACAATATTTTGTAAGTAATTAATCTTAAAAGATCGCTATTAAAACATCACAGGTTTACCTCAAGGTGCTATCATGGGTCCAACCCTACTTAACACAGCCGCGGAGGACTTAAGGGGTTGCCGGGGCTCTGACTCGAAGGGCAGGAGTAGGACCGGGGTGGTTTTAGTCAGTGAGAGCCTGACTCTCCCTCTCGCCTCACTTGGCAAGATAAGTCATTCTATGGTTTTCCCCCCTTAAAAACCCTACTTAACACAAACGATAGATTCAATCTTTGCAAATAAAATTACCATTCCTCCGCCTTCTGTCATTTGTGTGAAGAAATACTTACTAACAACATTGTTAGCATGTAATGTACGAGCATGATAACTCAACTTGTAATGACGTTTATCGCCATATTTCCTGCAATAAAACAGGAGCCAAATAGAAAGTGCAAAATAATTTACTTGAAAATTGATCTTGATGTGCGTACGAGTTTGTAGAGATGTGTATCACCTGTGTAATGTGTTGCGTGAGAATGACTATAAGTTATTGTCTTGGATACATGATACAGTTACTCTTTAAACGTAATTGGATACCTACCTCTTTGGTTGGGTGAGCGTAACTGCGACTGACAAGCTTGAGGTCCTAATAACACTACTGGCGGAATATACATTGTAGGAACTGTAAGTTATCCATTACACAGAGTAAATGGTGAAGTTATGTTTTGTTATATGGAAGCAATTTGCTCAAAGTGCATATAGTGATTATAAGGAAATTGTAAATCTTCTTACGAGAAAGTGTATGTTCGTAGTCAAATTAAATTAGCTATAAATCAAGTTTATTAGTAGACATAACACCATGCATGCACAAGCGAATGTACTAAAACCAGAAAATCATAGATTGCTAATTAATAAACGCACTTTTATTGACAGTTGCAGGAGCCCATCTATTTATAGTACAATTGATAATTTATAAAGTTGGAAAGCCTAATAATTCTTGACCCGACTTGCTAATCCTATTCAAAATCCTATTCGCAGTTCATATTCGCACACACTTAACCAACCAACACAACGTCTTTCACACTCACTGAAAGATGCTGAATCATCTAAAAGCCTTATTACTTCTGTAAGTACTACATTGTTGCTAATTATATCCCGGACTTCAGGACTGAAGGAAGTGATTACAGAATTGATCATACAAAGCCATAAATGTGGTACATTTACTTGCGAACTTATGTAACTTGTGTTAAAACATTGCCATTAACTTTTGCGGTTGATATGAAGATTTACACTGACGTGTTTCATTGTTCAAGTGCCTTCACAAGACAGTATTTGTAGGAAATAATATTGCATAATATACTACCTGTTTTTAGTCCAAAGAGGGTTCAGTGGAGAAACATAATTATGATGTAGTTGTAAGGAATCTTTTTATATTGACATCTCGTTTGAAATTGGAATGACCGTGGTCATAAGTAAACTTATGAACTAATCGAATTGGCATTAGATGTGCCAACGTAACACCAGGAGGGTAATCGGGCCTCCGGTAACCTCACTCACACGACGAAACACAACGCAAGCGTTGCTTCA